AATCTGAGATTTATAAATGTTTTCACCAGACTTGGAAAAATTGGGGCATAATTTCTTCAAATGTTGCTCCAGCCCCAGTGCCCCCCTGGCCATTTCTTTTCTTTCTTAATTTCTGGTTATTCCTCTACTAACACCCTTGAAGTTATCCCAGAGCTCCCTGATCCTCTCTCTCTCCTCTCTCCTTATCTCTCTCCCTTTTTAAAAAATATATATATTTTAAAGATTTTATTTATTTGACAGAGAGCGATAGCATAAGGCGGGGTGGGGAGGGACAGAGGGAGAGGGAGAAGCAGACTCCCCACAGAACAGGGAGCCTGATGTGGGGCTCGATCCCAGGACCCTGAGATCATGACCTGAGCCGAAGGCAGACGCTTAACCTACCGAGCCACCCAGGTACCCCATCCTCTGTCCTTTTTAAAAATTCTTATTTCTTGGTATCATTTTGGAAAGTTTCTGGGATATCTTCAAATTCATTAGTCTTCTACAATGTCTAATCTGTTGTTAATTCCATCAAGTATATTTTTAATATCAGACATTGTAGTTTTGATCTGTAGAAATCCCATTTGGGTCTTTTAAATATTTTTCATGTTTCTACCTAACTTTTGAAGCATGTGGACAGTTGCCATTATAATGTCTCAGTTAGTGTTAACACCTGTGTCGACTGTTCTGGGTCGGTCGCTGTTAGTTAATGGGTCAGTTTTCCTGCTTGACATTCATAGTCATTTTTGGTTGGGTGCGTAATGTTTTTGTATTTCTTTCTTTAAATAGTTTGAGTATTGTTCCAGGATGCATCTAACTGACTTGGAAACAGTTTGATCCTTTTACATCTTGTTTTAAGAGTTGTTAGGCAGGAGTGGAATGGTGCTTAGTCAGGGGCCGGTTACTTCCCACCCCCAAGGCAAGACCCCATACTCTGTGCACCTGTGGTGTTCTGGTCCAGCTGGTGGGAACAGGCGTTCCTTCCAGCCCTATGTGAGGGAGGGATGCATGCTGTTTCTCATCCTTCCAGGCAGTTCTTCCCCACTTCAGGGATTGCGTCACACCGAGGTGGTGACATTTGTGCCTGCTTGAGAGGCCATCTGCAGCTCTCTGTCGACCCCCTCCCGGTGCATCCTATCCTGGCACCCTCTCCTGTGCCTCTTAGTCCAGCATGCCCACCGACTTCTTCCTGGCTTCCCGTCCCACTTTCTGAGCCCGGGCTTGGGAAAGTTGTATGGGACTGATGTTCCTATATCTGGAAAACTTGTTTCATTTATTCTGTTTTGTTTTTCCATTCAAAAGCTATTTATTCAGAACGCACCATGTGCCCCATTTACTTGGGATAGATCAGTGAGCATAACTGATGAGAGCCCCTGCTTTACGAGAGCTTACATCTGTTTGGCAGACAGACAGTTATTAATACACATAATAAATAAGTTTGTGATAGATAAGGTAAGAGGATGGTAACTACAATAGAAAAGACAAAAGCGTAAGGAAGATGGGGTAAGGTTACAATTTTTTCTAGCTTTATTGAGGTGTAATTGACAAGTAAAAATTGAATATATTTAAGGTATCCAACGTTGATCATTTGATATTACATAGTCACTGTGAAATGATTACTATAATCAAGCTAATTAACACATCCATTACCTCACAGAGTGTTTTTGTTTTTCTGGTCTTGGTATGCTGAGAACACTTATGATGTACTCTCTTAGCAAGTTTCAAGTATACAATACAGTATTGTTAACTATAGTCACCATGCTGTACCTGAGATCCCCAGAACTTCATTCATCTGATAATTGAAAGTTTGTATCCTGTGACCAACATCTCCCTATTGTCCCTACTCTCCAGCCATGGGTCTACCCTCTGGTTGTATGATTTTGACTTTTTAGATTCCACATACAGGTAAGATCATGTAGTTTTTCTCTTTGTCTGTCTGACTTATGTCAGCATAGTGCCTCAGTGCTCACGTTGTCTCAAATGGCAGGATTTATGGCTAATACCCCAGTGTGTGTACACATGACATCTTCTTTATCCATTTGTCTGTGGACAGCCGCTTAGGTGGCTCCTTTGTCTTGGCTGCTGTGAGTAGTGCTGCAGTGAACACGGGAGCGCAGATAGCTCTTCAAGATACTGATTATTGCCTTGGGATATATGCCCAAGAGTGGGATTGCTGGGTCGTAGGGTAGCTCTGTTTTTAACTTTATGAGGAACTTCCTTCCATACTGGTTTCCACAGTGGCTGCCCCAGTTTGCATTCCCACCAGCAGTTCCTTTTTCTTCACATCCTTGCCAACACTTGTTATCTTTGTTTTTTGATGATAACCATCCCAACAGGTATGAGGTGATATCTCACTGTGGTTTTGATTTGCATTTCCCTAATGGTTAGTGATGATGATGTTGGGGACAGGACCAAGCCAAACAGGGCTGTAGCTGAGTCCTTAGGGGGCAGAGCGTTTCTGGGTCTGTAGCTGGGGCCTCTGGCAAGCCAGCTGCCTGGATGCAGGGCCTGGCTTAGCCTTGGACTGCACCCAGGTTTCAGTCTCCTCCCTGGATGCCAGAGCTCCCATTGGGCATTTTTGTCTGAGGATGGATGCCAGATTGTTGCTGAGGGGCACATGAGTGGGGACCTCCTGTTCCACCATCTTGCTGGTGGCACTCCCTCTCCGTTTCCAGCTGTTTTGCTGGTTGTTCTCTGTCTTGCCTAGAAGCAGATAACCTCATGTCTCTGTCTTAATTGTGAGGACTGGAGCTGTCAGAAGAGTACACCCTGACACCTGGACGTCTCACATCCTCTGTCTGTGACCCCAGAGACTCCTGTGTTCATAAGGGACCCTTCCTCAGCTGTGTGAGGAGTCTTCCACATAGCTCTGTCCTCTCTTATGTTACATGAGACTGCCTTGGACCTCCTGTCTTCCTCCACCAGAACTCTCCAGAAGCAGCGTCTGGACCAGCTGCCTCTTTGTGCTCACCTCCCCTGCGACTTCAAGCCCCGTCCAGGTGGACTGCTGCCCCAGCCTCATCACCAGCACTGCCTTTATCCAGGCCTCCAGTGATGTGGTGCCGCCAGACCGAGCGGGGAACCCATGTCTTCCCTCACCTGACCTTGCCGTGTCCTCTCTTTCCTGCTGACTCGATGTCCTGTCTTCCTCTCCTTGTCCTCTCAGTTTTCCTTAGGAAATTGGCACGCCCAGGGGTCAGTCCTCCTAGACCTCGGCTCTATTCTTGGCTCAAGTCTCACCCTTCACCTAGAATGTCGCAAATACTAGTTTATCCTAATTGTTTGCATTGGCATTGTTGCATTGGCATCCTAACTAGGCTCTTTGCCTCCCTCTTGTGCCTTCACTGTCTGTCTTCAGCACAGAGCAGAGCAATCGTTCCAAGATGTAATTTGGCTTCCTGTCACATTTAGGTTAGAATTCTCATGTCCTCATTGTAGCTGGCCTGCTGGATGTGACAGCCACCCTCCCTGCCAGTGTGGCCTCATTCTGCGTGTGTTCCCCTGTGCACTGCACCCCCTGCTAGACAGTGTGCTCCCCCAGATCCCTGCCAGGCCTGCTGTCTCCTCCATCGGGCTCTGCTCCGTGCCTCCTCTGGAGCAGCACCCCTCTGGCTGGCATGTCTGGAGCAGCTCTGGCATGTTCTCCCCATGCCTTGTGGTATTTTCCTTTGTGTCTGATTCTACCTGACTTTATGTTAAATGTTTATTTATTCAACTGTGGATTGCCTCTCTCACTATGAGCAGAGAGTTTGCCTTCTTTAGGCTGAGTAAACAGTGTTGCGAGAGTGCCTGGCATGCAGGACACAGGACATGTCTGAAATCTGTGGTGGAATGTGAATTTAAATGAGTGCTCAGGAGAGGCCTTTCTGGATAAAGGAATGACACTAGATTGTGTTTCAAGGGCCATTTGTAATTTCCAGCCTCATCAAGTCCATTGGTTTTGTTTTGTTGTTTTGGGTTGGTTGGGGGCTTTTTTGCTTTGTTTTATTGTTTGCTTGCTTTTGCTGGTTGGGGGTGGATTTTGTTAAAGCTCTATATAAAACAGGCACAAGCTCTCTGTCCTTATTTGTTAATAAATGCCCTACTTTGTCCTTACTTTTTGATGGTCTATGACTTTTAAAATTTAAGTGTTTCTTCTCAGAAAATTCCACATATAGGATTATGCACATCTATGTAGAAGTGTATGGAAAACTGTTAGTTCTTCGTGTTTCGGTGCCTTTGATAGCCTGGCCGCCTAAAAATAGGGTCCTCACCTCTTGTGCAGAGTCCAGGGGGAGGAGCAGGGGCCTCACCCCAAACTCCAGTATGAAAATCCTGCTCTCACGGTGTGTGGGTGCTGGGGGTGCCAGGGCCTTACCCTGAGCTCCAGCTCACTGTCTGGTCTGTGACCAGTGCCTCGTGGGACACACGCTCAGATGTCACCCACTGTGCTCTCTGGCATCTTAGGAGACGTTTCTGCTAGAAGCTGGTGCCAGCCTCGGTCTGCTTACTTGGTATTCTCCTGTAGGGTCTCTGAAGCACAGCACTTCCCACCTGTAGCTTTGACTGCCTGGACATTTAAAAGCAAGTTCATAAGGCTCTAGTGTAGAGACTGCGTAGTCCTTATGGCCTGTGTGCTCAGAATCCCCAGCCTTTGTCTTTCTGGCCTTTATTTATCTTTTTCCTTATTTAGTATTCTGTGTTCTTGTAGGCTACCTGAAAGTCCTTTTTGAATTGAGACAAGGTATTACATAAACTTAACTTTTTTTCTGGGAGGGAAAGAAGGACCTCTAAACGTTGGTAATAAATCTTACTCCTCAGATTATTTTTGTAACTATTGTTTTTGTTTAAGGGAGAGGGGATTTTAAGTTTTTTGCCTCTGATTTCCTTTTCTTAGTAGGTAAAATAGTGATTTTTTTACTGTCTGTGCACAGTGTAGATGAATTAATATGTATATTGAAAACATGAGAATCACCATGCTGAGTCATCTGCTTCGTAAATTTTAAGCCATTTTTCCTGAGTTGATCATTTCTTTTATGTAGGAGGTAATGAGTCTCAGCCGGAAAGCCAGGAGGACCCCCGAGAAATACTTAAAAAGACATTGGAATTCTGCTTATCTAGGTAAGGATGCCAATGGGTTTTCTGGTACCTGCTGTCTCAGGTTTTCTGCACCAGCTATTATGTACAGATGTGATACTATAGAGAAGGGGTAGAGATCTGTTGATATCTTCATAGGACATGGAGAATATGGAGTAGCAGTAGTCTTTTTGACATGGTGGAGAACCAAACCGAATCAGCTAAGCCAGTGTTCCCCACAGTTCTCCACAGATTCATCATTATGATCATTACCTGGGTTGCTTTTTGAAATTCAGAGTCCTGGCCGCCACCCCCCACCCCCAATACCACGGAATCAGACGCTGAGGGTGAGGCCTCAGGTCATCAGTCTGACAGAGACTTTTTTTTTTTTAAGATTTTATTTATTTTGAGAGAGAGAGTGAGCGAGAGAGAGAACGAGCACAAGACGGGGAGAGGCAGAGGGAGAAGCAGGCTCCCCGCTGAGCAAGGAGCCTGCTGCGGGGCTCGATCCCATGACCCATGAGACCATGACCTGAGCTGAAACCAAGACTCGGACGCTTTAACTGACTGAGCCACACAGGTCCCCCCACATTTTTTATTTTATTTCATTTTTTAAAAAGATGTTATTTATTTATTTGTCAGAGAGAGCAAGCGCACAAGCAGGGGGAACGGCAGGCAGAGGGAGAAGCAGACTCCCCACTGAGCAGGGAGCCCGATGTGGGACTCGATCCCAGGACCCTGGGATCATGACCTGAGCCGAAGGCAGACACTTCACTGAGTGAGCCACCCAGGCGTCCCTTGCAGAGACATTCTTGAGTACAGTGAAGTTTGAGAACACATTTCCTATCCTAGTTCTCCCAGTATGCCAAACCCTACAGTAGCAAATTGTTCTGTGTATGTACCGCTCGTATGTTTAGTTGTTCCTTTATCCTGAGTAGTACCTTTTCTCTTGACAAATGGAATAGAACCTTTAGTTCAAAATGGCAGAACGATACATACAGGAAGATGGGATTGGGTTAAATGTAATTTTCTTTGAGTGCGATGATAACTGATGGGCCATGTGGAAGATTTTCTCTCAGCGATGGAGATTTTTCAACTGTTTCTTTGGGCCTGCCTTCAGGCTTTCACAGAGTGTCTGAGGAGGGCCGCTCTAGAGACTGTGGGGCTACATGGAGGGGAGGGGTGGGGAGGGGCGGGTACCGCAGCTTGCCTTCCTGGCCCACACCTCCCCAGTTAGGGCACCAGGCCTCAGGGCATGCTCTGAAAGGGAGAGCTTCTGCCCTGAGGCTGTGAGGTGGAAGAGGGGGGTCTGCACCTCTCACAAGCTCCACTCTGTCCCTCTTGCGCTACCTGACAGGTGGTGGGGACAGAGCAGCATTGCCCTCTGCGGATCTTGGAGACTGTCCTCGGCCTTCCCTGGGACCATCGTGTCTGTGTTGAGATGTTCCGAGCACATTGTCCTGTTTATGGAGGCTTCATATTAGGAGCATCGCCATAGGCCAAAACCCCAGCAAGTGGCTCACCTTCCCCCGAGCTGCTGGTGCCTGCAGCTTACCTGCCGTGACCCCACACCTGTGTTACTGGTCACGTGTCCTTCTCTGTAATTCTGGCTGCACGTGTTCCAGACGGCATGTGGCACCAGCCTTTCCTGGCCTTTCCATAGCTTTCTTAGCTTTGTGTTCTTTCAGCTGGATTGTCTGAACCTAAAAAACTGTGTTTGTATTTTTAACAAGCTACTCAAACACTTTTTAGAACAAAGATAAGCTATAAATACATTTTTAAGGGATTACCCACTCATTCACTGTGACTGTAAAAGGTGCACTATATTTTTGCTCTCCCAAAACTTCCCCTAAGGTCAGAGAGCTGACAAGAAACAGATGGGGTTGGAAGTCTGATGTAACTCTGAAGCAGTGCCATGCCTTGCTCGCCCTCTTTGGAAGCGTCCTTTTAAAGAAGGAGTCACTAAAAGTTCTTGTCTTCTTTCTGCAGGGAGAACCTTGCTAGTGACATGTACCTTATATCGCAGATGGACAGTGATCAGTATGTGCCAATCACCACGGTAGCTAACCTGGAGCACGTCAAGAAGCTCAGTACTGACATGAACTTGATCGTGGAAGTGCTGAGGTGTAAGTAAACGGCAGTCTGGGCAGGCGCGTACGTGGTCTCGCAGCGGTGTGGCCCTTCAGGTCCATAGCCAGTCATTTAGGTACTTGAAGGCAAGTGGGGTCTTCTTTCACCTTCCTACCTCTCTGACTGGCCCCTGTGTGTGGTGAGGGGCGTCGATGGGCTCCGTAACTCAGACCCCGCATATGCCACGTCTCAGGGAGTGGGCCTAAGAAAGGCTGCCGCAGAGAGGGACAACTGCTGGGATGTTGGTGAAATATACAGGAGATGACCGCCTTTGATGGAAAGTACAATGCATTTTCATTAGCATTCCAGCAACAAAAAGGGCTTCTTTAAATTTCAACTTCCTGCTAAAGTTTGAAAGGTGAAATAGGACTGGTTTTCTTTAAAAGGGTATTGTGAGCGAAGTTGTTTCTTGAACATTTGGCAGCATCAGAGGAAGATTTAAACATTACATCAGACCTGTAGGGGTTTGGGGACTGTGGGCCTTTAAGGGTGAAGCGCCTGCAACCTAACCACTTTGTCGTATGTTTTTGAAGACACCATTTGACCGAGGTTATAACTGACGTCCAGGGAGCTGCGTGGCATGTGTGTGCAGTGCATGGCTGGGTCAGTGTGGACCTCGGTGTACATCTGCAAAACCATCACTGCCCACAGTTTTCTGAGGGCCTTTGTACTGCTTCCAGTTCTCCCTGCCACCCGGGATGGCTTCCCTGGGGATGAGTTTGAAATTCAGTGTACAATATATTGGATATATTTTTAAATGGGGTTGTTTTTAATTATAAAGAGTCACTTTCTGTAATAGGACTGCAAGTACCAGATGGATTATTTCTGTAGTCTCCCTTCTCAGGGCTACTCTGAGTCCTTCACAAAGAACACAGCATACATTGTGTCCCCCCACCCCAAATATTTCTGAGTGAGGGGACATCCATCTTGCCAGAATTAAAACCCCATTTCCCCATGTCAGCACTGGGACTTTCCGTCACTGACACTTAGGCAGCAGTGCTTCTGTACTCTCCCTGGCATGGCTGACAGGTAGTGATGATTTTTTCTTGTGTGCATTCGACTTCATAGAAGAATAGGTGAACGTCTCATCTTAAAACTTAGTTGGATTTCTATTCGCAAATAAAAGTTCTCCACTTTCTGTTCCTAGGCAGATTTTGTAAGGTCATTAAATTATTGGAGCAGATGGTGAAGAAATGAGCAGACATAATCTATGAAGTTTGAATTCTGAAAATTATAACCACTGTCCCAAGATAAGATAGCTTTATGCTTTCCAGCATTGCTTTGTTTTTGACACTCCAGAACAGAAATCTGTTTGTTGGATCGGTTGAGTTTGGTTCTGTGTGACCCACTTATAAAGGCCAGTGCTTTCCTAACCTAAAAAACACTTTACCCAGTTAACATTCTTTGGTTATTGTTAGGAATCCCAGATGTAGTTATTTCTTTTAGGCATTCCTTGGAAACTTGGCTGCCCCGTGGATGATTTCTCGGCTGACGCTTGCTGGCTAGGAGTCTTCATGCAGAGCACGAGGATGTTGAATTGCCCTGTGCCCTGTGTGGTTGCTGCAGGGAGCTGCTTCTCCCCGTGGACCCACAGCCCTGCCACCCTCCCCACCCTTCTTCTGCCTTCCCTGCCAGTACCATCTCGGTGGGGGGGGTCTGCAGTTGTAGTGGTACCTCCTGTCCATCTGCCTTCAGCTCTTGAGTGTCTGATTGCTTCTTTTCACTCCAGTTGTAGACAATATATGTGCATATGTAATAACCTAATGAACAAAGTGTAGTTAGCGTATTAGTTGTAGTTCTGGGCAGGGTGACATAAATAAGCCTCTGTGAGCAGAGATCTCTGTTTAAATCTTATCCCCATCCCCCCAAAAATGCCTCACATAGAACATTAGATACACAGTAGACACTTGATAACATTTTATTTTAATTTGAATATTCCCTAGTACAACACCAAAACTCTAGTGTTGATTGAATTGCGTAAATTATGTTTTTGTGTCATAATACACGTGGTACGTAGTGCATGGTACAGAATGTCTGATTCAAATGCTTTGTTTTTACACTTTAAATATAGTTGAAATTGCTAATTTAAAAATAGACTCAGATATAAATACATTGTGATAGAGCCTCACAGTGAATACTAGAACAAATAAAACGAACTAGGCTACATTTTCAACAAGAATCCATTTTAAAATCGTAATGCTGAATACAAAAGCCTATTTTACGTAGGTACAAAATGATAACATCTGTACAGAGTTTAGATATGAGTAAAATAGATAGATGGAACTCTGCTTTTCATGGGTTCAGAGGTCCAGGGGTAAGAGTATAAAGACCTGAGTGGGACTGACTCTCCTGACTAAAGGTGAACGTTTATGGGGAGCACACAAACTGGGGACAAAACTGGGGGATGAGAGGCACGGGGAGTTTCGCCAGTCCCTGTTTGTTGTTTTGTTTTTACAGCTTTCTTGAGGTAGAATTTACACACCTTAAATTACACGTGGTTTACATGTATATTTGTTAAATTATGACATCTTTATACACACGTGGAACTACTGTAATGAAGATAATGAACATACTGTCGCCCCTGAGAGTTTCCTCCTGCTTCAGGCAACCACTCGTCTGCTTTTTGTCGCTGTACCTTAGTCTACATTTTCTGAAAACTTTATGTAAATGGAATCAATCATGCAATAGCCTTTTTGGGAGGGGGGAGGATCTGGTTTCTTATAATTATTGTTGAGTCTGTCAATAGCTTATAGCTTTTTATGGCTGAGTCCTGTTCCATTCAGTAGATAGACCACATTTGGTTTATTCACCCCGCAGTTGATAGACTTGGTTATTGCCAGGTTTTTACTACAAATAAGGTGCCATGAGCATTGGTGTGAAAGTCTCAGTGTGCACAGAGGCTTCCGTTTCTCTCGGGGTCAGTAGTTGGGATGGTATGGTAGGTGTATTTTAACTTGTGAAATTGCCTGCCGGTCTCCCAGAGTGGGCTGATGCGGCCTCCATTGCTCCACACCCTTGCAAGCACTCGCTGTGCACGGGCATTTTACTTGCAGATTTTCTAGTTTTATCTCATTGCTGTTTTAATTTCTGTTTGCCTAATGCCTGGTGACACCAAACAATCTTTTCATGTGCTTGTTTGCTCTCCTTTTATCTTTGATGAAATGTCTGTTCGTGTGCCCTCCACCCCACCTTTTTATTAGTTTCCTTACAATTGAGGTTTGAGGGGGTGTGTGTGTGGTTTGAAATACTGTATTATCTATGTCCTGGATATAAGCTGTTAATCAGGTATATGATTTGCATTCTCCTGGTCTCTAGCTTCTCTTTTTTTATTCTGCTAGTAACAGTATTTTTTGAACAACACAGTTCTGAATTTTTGTATAGTCCAATTCATTAATTTTTTTCTTTTATGGATCTTGCTTTTGGTGTTGTATCTAAGAAATCTGTTCTTAATCCAAAGTCATGGAGGTTTTCTCCCAGAAGTTTTATAGTTTTAGGGTTTACATATTTAGGTCTGTGGTCCATTTTAAGCTAATCTTTGTACGTGGTTTGAGGTATGAATCTAAGTTCTCTGCCCCCTCACATGTGGGTATGCAACTGTTCCAGCACCGTTAGCTGGAAAGACTTTCCCTTCTCCACTGAGTTGGACTTGGTGCTGTTGTCGGGATCATCTGTCCCCACACTGCGGGTTTATCTCTGGGCTTTGTGTCCTTGATCTGCTTCTCTGTTTTGACACCTGCACTTCAGTGTCTTGATTACTACTCTGGCTTTGTAAGAAGTCTTCAAGTAGGTGCAGAGTCTCTCAACTTGTTTTGGCTCTTCTAAGTGCTTTGCGTTTCCATATGAATTTTAGAATCAACGTGTCAGTTTTTCAAAAACATTTTTATTGGGATTGCATTGAATCTGTAAATCAATTTGGAGAGAATTGACATCATAACAGTAGTGAACACAGTATCTCTCCATTTATTTACATCTTTTATAATTTTCTCTTGGTAATGTTCTGCAGTTTTCAATGTACAGGTCGTCCGTATCTTAACAGATTTATAACTATTTCCTGTTTTTGACACAATTTTAAATAATGTTTTTATTTCAATTTTCATCAGTGCTAGTATGTAAAAATACAATTCTCTTTTGTATGTTGATCTTGTGTACTAAAACTTTGTTAAACTCTTCAATTCTAGTTTTTTGGGAAATTTTTTCAGATTTTCTACATAGAAATAAGCTTATTGCCTATGAATGGAAAGTTTTACCTCTTTATACCCAGTCTGGGTGCGTTCAGTTTCTGTTTCTTGCATTATTGCCCTGGCTTAAACCTCCAGTACAGTGTTGACTGGAAGTGGAGAGAGTCGGTGTTTTTTGCTTTGTCCTGTCTTCAGTAAGTGTGATGCTAGATGCTGACTTTTCCTAAGTAAGGAGGTTTCCCTTCCATTCCTAATTTGAGAATTTTTTTCAGGAATGTTGGATTTTGCCAAATACTTTGTCTGCATCTGTGAGGTAATGGTATTTTTTTGTTTTTTAGTCCATTAATGTGAATTACATTGCTGAATTTTCGATTGGTAAACCAACCTTTCATTACTGAGATAAACCCCACTTGTCATGATTTATTACTATTTTTATATATTGTGAGATTTGATTTGGCAAAATTTGGTAAGAATTTTTGATCTGTGTTCACGGGGATATTGGTCTATAGTTTTCTTGCTTTGTGTTGTTTTTGTTTAGTTTGGATATCAGAGAGCTTCTGGCTTCATAGGTGGAATTGGAGTGTATTCTCTTAAGCGTTTGGTAGGATTCTCTGAGGACACCGTGTGTGCCTTGAGTTTTCTTTTCTCTCCCAGATCTGGGTCTGTGTTGGTGACCGTCATCTTAGAGCGAGCTTTGGTAGCGTATGTCTTTAAGGATGTTTCCGTTTCGTGTAAGTTGTCTAACTTAATGTTTATTAGCAGGAACTTTTTCATGATACTCCCTTAGGTCCTTTCAATACTAGTAGAACCTGTAGTGAAGTCAGTCTTCATTCCTGATGTTGGTAACATGTCTTTGTGGGGGTGGACAGCTCTGAGCCCTGATTGTGGTCATGGTTGTGTTGTGACTGCAATCTATACATGATACGGTTTCATAGACCTGACACCAGAACAGAACATCACAAAAAGGAATGTATGTAAAAACTTGTGAGGTCTGAATCCAGCCTGTCCCTGTGTTAGCACTGTTGTCCCAGGACCACCCTCCTTATATAGACCGTGGGCTGTGGTTGTGGAGGATGTCACCGCTGGGAAGGGCTGTGTGGGGCGCACATGGCACCTTGTTGTGAGTTCAAAATAAGTCGTAATAGGACGGAAAACTATTTTACGTTAGGCACTCATAGAAAAGAACAAGCCAATAGCTCTTGAGTTGTGATCTACATGTCGGTTGGGCTGTTGAGAATCCTTGTTTCATGGTGTTAAATTTATTCTAGCTCTTAAAGGACTTTTTAAAATTCCTGTGCTCCTTAGTTTTGAGAAATTTAACCTGAGGGATGGGTGTAAAACCTTCTGATGGTTTGTGTTATGGTATCCCACTGTATACAGGTGTCTTCATTGTGTTAAGTAAATACAATAGAGCACATCACACTGGAGTGTTTATATTATGTCATAACTAGAATGCAAATGATTTGTTTTAATGTTTGTATTTTACCCTTCATTTTTCTTCTCTTTGTAGCTTTACCTTTAGTCCAAGTGGATGAGAAGGGAGAAAAAGTAAGGCCAAATCAGAGTCGTTGCATTGTGATCCTGCGTGAAATACCTGAGTCCACTCCTGTAGAAGTAAGTCTCTTCAGAAGGGTGGTTGGACGTGTTTTGTGGGTTTTTGTTTATTTCTGTTTACTTCTTTGTTTTTTAGAGGGTGTATTGTAAAGAATACTCATAGTAACACTTTCTTCCCAGGATTTACACACTGTTAGTTGCAGTGTGATTCATTTGTAAGAGTGGTACTCAAATGTTTTGGTCTCAGAACTCCATTATATACTTCACATTAAAAAATACTGAAGAGGCAGGGAAGCCTGGATGGCTCAGTCAGTGAAGCGTCTGCCTTTGGCTCAGGTCATGATCTCAGGGTCCTGGGATCGAGCCCCAGATCGGACTCCCTGCTCAGGGGGGAAAGTCTGCTTCTCCCTCTCCCTCTGCCCACTTGTGCTTGCTCTCTCTCACTCTATCTCAAATAAATAAAATAAAAAAGAAAAGTACCAACTTAGGCAGTAATCTTAGGAAACCACAGTATTTGATAGTGTCAGAGTCCTGAAAAGTCCTCTACAGTTCCTGCTTTGCTGTACAATGTTACCTGTCCAGACACTTAAACTGAGGTGCGTTGTGTATTGAAAACCTGGTGGTTGCACAAGAGCCTTTGTGTGAGGCTCCGATAGAGTCAGCCCTTGACCTGTATAGAGCGTGGCAGTTCACTGCTGCGGGGACTCTTCTTCGAGACCCCATGAAGTTTGCTTTGTCAGTCACGCGTCTTCCGTGAGGTGTAGGCCCGAGGGACTCGGGCCGCGGACATTCTCAGAGCCGTCTCTGCAGAGGAAATCGGTTAGTGTGTGTGCGGGTGTATGAAGGACACTTCTTGGTGTAGTGTACCAAAGGTGAGGGTTCTAACAAGCCTAGGATAAGAAATTACACCATTCTTGAGTATGGCATTGTTCTAGCAAGTTTTACTTTCTGTTCAGCTGAGGCTGTTTTTACTAGTTCTATATTATATGTGAAGAAAAAGAAATAAGGAATGAATTTTTTTGTCCCCTTTTTTTTTTAAGGTTCTAAATATGAAGTATCTTATTTCTTTCTACCAATCTGGATGTCTTTATTAACTCACCATAATATTTAACACGTAGGTCCTTTGAAATATTTGTAAGGACTAACCAAGAAGAATTTTCTACTTTTAGCTGCAGACATTGATCTTGGTATATTTATATTATTCCAAACGGCACACCCTATGTCTGTTGTAAAACTTGAACCATGGAAGTTTTTTTAAAAAGGTTTTTAGTAAACTAAGAGTTGAAACAGAAAGGGGTGGGGGAAGCGGCGCAAGCTGAATGAGAGGACAGGAAGCCTGCGGAGCACTGAGCACACAGAGCCCCTCTGCTCAGGCTGGCGCCCCCTGCCCCGGGGGCTTCAGAACACTCTTCCTGTTTCAGTGCAGCCCTGTGCTTGTCAGTGGTTGGAAAATTCTTTAAATTGTAGTTCATTTGGTTGCTTAATAATCTTTCATAAAATGGCCCCAATCCCCTGGTGACATTTTGCTTTGAATCGACTGGTGTCAGGGGCGCCACCCCAGGGTTTTGAGTGGACTTCTTGTGGGCTGCCTAGAGTTGGGTCCTGCTTTTCTGAGCCAGTCTGAAGTTCTCTGCCTCTGAGTGGGAAGTTTGGACCGGTCACATGTAAGTGATCAGTAATGTGATTAGGTTTAAATTTGCCACCTTGCTGCTTGTTTTCTCTTTGTCCTGTTCCTCATTTTCCTTTCTTTCCATGCCTCCCTTTCTACTTAGGTTAAATTCATTATTTTTGTTTCCTTTTTTGGCTTATTAGATATAACTCTTTGTTTTAGTGGCTGCTTTTAGGGTTTGTAGTGACATGTTCAGCTGGTCCGTGTCTGCCTGTAGTTAATAGTGCCCCACTGCTCCCCCTTCCGAGGCTTGCTCCACTTCCTGAGCCCGGCGGGTACGCCGGGTATTCCTAAACCACACAGGACTTGGTTATGTTTGTCTCCAACAAGTTAGTTTTCTTTTCAAGAGATTAAAAGTAAGAAAAATGTGTTTCCTATTTATCCAGTATTTACCATTTACAGTGCTTTTCATGCCTGTGTTCAGGTCTACACTTCCTCTGGCCTCCTTTCTGCCTGTTTCATCCTTTATTTCTTGTGGTGCGGCTCTCCTGGCAGGGAGGTTTTTCAGCTTTTGTGTGTTTGAGAAATTTTTTTCTTTTTTCTTTTATTTATTCATTCTTTTTGAGAAAATCTTTATTTTGCCTTCATTTATGGAAGCTGTTTTCTCCGGGTGTAGAACTCAGGATTACAGGCTTGTGTTCCCTTCCTGTATCTAAAGATGCTGTTCGCCTGTGTTCTGGTTCGCGTTGTTTCTGGGGCTGGTCTGTCATTCTGGTCTTTGTTCCTCTGCATGTCGGCACGGCTCCCTTTTTCTCAGTGCTTTGAAGATTTTAAGCACATTGGTGGTGATACCCCTTGATGTAGCTTGTGAGTTTCTGGAACTGAAGTTTCCTAAGGTGTTACTCTTTTTCTCTTCTCCCTTCTCTTCTTTTCAAAGTTCCTAACTAACTGCTAATGCAACGTAGTGCATTTTTCATTCCAGAGTTCTTTTTGGGTCTTTGTTTCTTTCCTCTTCTGTGTTTCTATTTAACATGCTCAGTCTTACCTTTTTGAATATAGGATACATATCTAAGAACCATTTTAATATTTTTGCCTTTTTATTCTATCATTTGTATCATTTCTGGGCCTAATTTGATTGGTTTTTTTCTCCTTCAGGTCTTATTTTTCTGTTTCTTTGTGCGCCCGGTAAATTTTGAATGGATGCCACGGATTTTGGATTTTACCTTATTGAGTACTAAATGTTTTTATATTATTTCCTGGAGCTGATGTTGAGCTTTATTTGAGGTTCAGTTTGACCCTTTAGGAGTGTTGTCAGGCAGATGTAGGGCCACATGACTGCAGGGCCTGTTCTTGCCCACGCCAGAGCAGTGCCTTTCTGCACACTGTGCCTGAGCCCCTGTGCATTGGGAGTGTTTTCTCCTCAGCCTGGTGGGGGCAGACACACCTCCTGTCCCTGTGAGTGCTGCAGCTGTTCCCTCTAATCATTGCAGGGGCCGTTTATGCATGCTGTGCCGTGGGAGACCCCGTGAGAGCCCTGCACATGTGCGGCCGGGTCATGCTACCCTCCCTGGCACTGGGGGGCTGTGGGGCCCCCATGGGCACCCCAGGCTCACATGCCCTACATGGCCTGAGCTCTGCTGTCTAAAACTGTTCTTTCATATAATTGTTTCAGTGGGAAGATAAATCTGGTCCATCTTGGCCAGAAACAAAAGTTCAGCTAATGTTTAAATTTCTCACACCACCACCTCGTTCCCCAATTGTGTAAGTTATCAGCTTTCTGATAGAGTGATATGATATTTTCACATTAATTTAGCTTCATGGTACCTTGGTGTACAAAGAAAAGCTATCAATAAGTTGTGGACTTATTTTCTGTGCCAGTCAGCTCCTCAGCTCTTCTGAAAGAGGCTTACTAGCTGTCCGTACGTCGGACTCTTTGTCTAAGGATCTGTCCTTGAGTGTATGCGTCATTTCTACTTGGTAAGGACAAATGTGGTGTAGTCGAGAATTAATTTCTACATCTCTATTTCCTGTAGGAAGTAGAAGCATTGTTTAAAGGAGACAATTTACCGAAATTTATAAACTGTGAATTTGCCTATAATGATAATTGGTTTATTACATTTGAAACCGAAGCTGATGCACAGCAGGTAAGCTGTTCCCAACCCCATGGAGCTCAGCGTTACCCATACTTCACAAGTAGTATGTGGAGGGCACTAAATTGGGGCTTGGAGATTACTACTGCATGGTGGTCCTAAGTTTGATTATAAAATGCAGAGGCAATCAGGTTATAGAAACTGAAATAGGTGTTTGTGAAGACAGTTTTTGTAGCAATAAAGCATATGACATTATTTTCTAAGGACATGTAAGACAAGCAGCCCATGAAAATGAATTCTGTTGTTTCATCTGGGTAGAGAAAGTTTTAATATTTGGAAAGTGTTCTGGGAAATTTGAATGTAATTTTAAGTTTCACAAGGCATCATTGTGTGTGTCAGATAGTTGAAAAGGCCCTGGGGAAGCTCTGTGAGGAGAAGCAAGGAGTGAAGATGGTCTCCCTGACCTAAAGGTGGAATCTTATTTGGGGGAAACATTAACGTGCTTCCAGGAATGCCAGTACAGTTGGCCCCTGAGCAGCAGGGGAGTTGGGGATGCTGACCCCATGCAGGGAGGAATCCACGTAGAACTATGGACTCCCCACATCTGAACTACTAATGGTCTACCGCTCACCTACCTGAAGCCTTACTGGTAACAGCAACAGTCAACACGTTTTGTATGTTATTTTTATTATATACTGTGTTCTTACAATAAAGTAAGCTAGAGAAAAGAAAATACTGTGAAGAAAATCAGGAGAAAATACGTTCATAGTACTGTCCTGTGTTTATCGAAAGAAGTCCACATATAAGTGGACCCTTGCAGTTCAAACCCGTGTTGTTCAAGGGTCAGCTGTACAGTGTTAAGTGGTAGGTGATGTGGATGCTGGGAAGTTGAGACGAGAGAAACAGCCATGTGAAGGATGGAGTTTGAGTGGGATGGAGGGGAAGGGCACAGGAGGGCTGGGCGGTGGGGGACGAGCAGAGTCTTGTCAGTGGGGCGGTGCCAGCACTCCTCACCAGGACGGGGGGCGGTAGGCCAAGGTCAGGGCAGGTGGCGCAGAGCCTTCCCAGTTAGGGAGGGCACTTTGGAGAAGAATAAGGAGCTGCAGAAATACTGCAATCTGAATGTTTCCCTCTCTTGAACTGTGCAATTCCATTTTCAAGCTGGGGTTTAGTGTTAGGGGCATGGTGTCCATTATTTTCCCCAGGTCAGGATCCTTAGCCTGTGGTTGTGGGAGGCTTTTGTGGTATCTGTTAATACTAAAAGAATTGTATGCAAATGTTGTTCATGAGATTTTTTGCTAGAGGCTCCTTAGCTCCTAGAGGTTCTTTTAAGGAATCTGTGACCCAAAGTAGGTTCTAGGTCTTGTCCCTCATATTTTAACTATACCATTCCTTATTCAAGGTCCTGAGTTAACTGTCAGTTCATCTTATTTATAAGATTAACCACTGGTATTTTGGGTGATTTTTGCCCTCAGGCTTACAAGTATCTGCGAGAAGAAGTGAAAACTTTTCAAGGAAAACCAATTAAGGTAAGCAAGACCATGGGTTATACTTTCTTTACTTGCCAGTCAGTTCTTGAGTATTCTGATAGAAATTTCTGTATTCCCAAACAGGCACGGATAAAAGCTAAGGCAATAGCTATAAACACATTTTTGCCAAAGAACGGATTTAGACCTCTGGACATGAGCCTTTATGCGCAGCAGCGCTACACAGCCTCCTTTTACTTACCTCCCGTCTACAGCCCCCAGCAGCAGCTCCCCCTATACAGCCTGATCGCCCCCCAGACGTGGTCGGCAACACACAGCTATCTTGATCCGCCCCTGGTGAGTCCTGTCCTTACGTGGAGCTCGTGCGGCAGGACGTTGTGGACACTGCACGAGGTGCTTGGAAGGATAGAGATGTTGTTGTGGTGGGGGAACCAGGTACACAGACAGTTTGCCATGGTAAAACAGACCTTCAGGTTCTTTTGTGGATTTAAACTTAATTGGGAGATCAATACGCAGCTGTGTACATTTAAAAAAAAAACCTTCATAGGCTGTCATATTGATCCTTGGCCCAGTCCCCCTGCCCTCCTGTATAGCAGTACCTTCCTAAGCTGTGTAATCCCCAGTAAAACAAAAAATGTGATCCTAAGTCTGGGATCCCTGGGTTATGCCTGAGCATGGGGGCTTTGCAAGGAGAGATGCTTTTAAGGAGACAGAGGTGTTTTAATAGACTTGAACAGTTGAGGATAAGTAGAAGACCTGCAAGCTTTTTTTCTCACACCAGCCCAAGTTGGCTGGCCTGTGTAGTGGATCCAGTTGTTCTGTTTTCTCCAGTTGTGCTGCTGGAGGGGTTAGAGAGGTCAGGTGCACCCTGCCTGGGCACTGGCATGAGCTCGGTGGAGTGTGGGATGTGAGAGTCAGGACTGGTCTGATCAGCCCCGGTCTGCTGGCCTCTCACCTGAGACAGTGGGGAAGGACTGATGGACAGGTGCACCCGAGGTTGCAGGGCAGCTTTCGTTGGAACCAGAGAGCGGGAAGGTGGAGGGTGTGGAAGGTCGTGGTCAGAAAGCAGGAGTTGAGTTAATGACTTTGAGGATACGGCTGTGGACCGAGTCAGGGCCAGTTGTGTGGTGCTCAGGTCAGGTGGGGGATGTGGGGATGTTACCTGGGGCTCTCGTTACCACTCATGGTAGAAAGAGGATGTTGACTGAAGGGGGTAAGCTGGGGAGAAGAGCATCGCCTCAGCTGGGATGGTTGGTGCCTGTTTCATACCGACACGTAAAGACATGTCCATGAAAGAATGTGGCCTGGAAGACAAACGATGTCTGTCAAACAGGCAATAATTGACGAAATGGGACTGAATACTATGGAACTTATAATTAGGGGGTTATCAGGTGTTATGTCCTCTTCTGTTGAGCTTATCAGAAGGGGTGGGAGGGAGAGGGGCTACAGGAGAGTGGGCAACATGTGCCGAGGCACTGGGGGGGGGTTGGCATCGTGGGTATCTCTGAGCTGACCCAGAGGCTGAGGCGGGGAACTGGGAGACAGAGCTGTACAGCTTCTTAACTGGGCCCTGGGGCGTGTGGTTTTGGCCCATAGCTTATGGGATGTGAGAAGGGCAGATGGGGAAGGGTGAGGAGAGGTCCTCGGGCGCTGGCAGAGCCCGAGGTCTAGCACCACCGCAGTGGGGGCAGGGGGCAGTTAGCAGACAGGTGCTGTCATTCAGAGTTGCTTCTCTCTTCAGAGGAAATCCTGATAATGCACTACTTTTTTGAAATCTTTGCTGTTTTCTGTGAGTGTGCCAACAGCCATGTAGCCTGATATATGATGAGAGAACCTTGAAGGGAGATAGAGTCCTTAAACTCTTGTGTTAAAGAATTTCTCCCCAAGGAGGCTAGCCGCCACGCTTGTGCTGTTTAGTTCCTCTTGAGTCGCTTCTCTCATTTCTCTAATCGGCCCCATATCCGTCCTGGAGCAGGGGCCGTTGGCACCTGAGGTCAGTTGTCTGGCCATTGAGGAGGGTTCCTTTGATCCTAGTTTGGGGGTGGGCACGTGAAGCTTTTTGCTTGCTTTAAAGCATACCGTGTCATTTTGAGCAGATGTGAAGATACAGTGCCTGTGAATTCTCAGCAAGTCGTGTTAAATTATTGGGTTAAGAACTGATTTTTTTTTTTTTCCATTTGAGAGAGAGAGAATGAGAGAGAGCAAGCACATGAGAGGGGGGAGGGTCAGAGGGAGAAGCAGACTCCCTGCCGAGCAGGGAGCCCGATGCGGGACTCGATCCCGGGACTCCAGGATCATGACCTGAGCTGAAGGCAGTCGCTTAACCAACTGAGCCACCCAGGCGCCCAGAACTGATTTATTTTTTAAACTCTTGAGCACAATTATGCAAATACCAGAGTTGTGTATGTAAAAGGAAATGATTTGTCACGAGTGATTTTAGCATGGTTAACAATCTTCAGAATCTGGTTCTGGTTGATCCATATTTAAACAGTCTGACTCTGGGAGCTGTTCTCAAACATATGTTGAGGATTCTCACGAAGTCCCAAGGGTATCTTTCTGCCCCAAAGTTTCCCCTCTGTTGCTTTTTTTTTTAAAACAGCAATTTTTGGTCCTACGTTGTCCCTAACATCCGTTTCCTGTCACAGCTTGTTCTCAGGTGTAGCCTCCGCACAGGTGTCAGTTGGCTTCCTCGGCGGGCTGCTGTGGGAAGATCACCCGAGTCGGCCCAGAAAAAGGTCTTAGCCCCCAGCCTGGCTCAGGAAATACTGGTCATTGGCAATGATCTAACACCATGTTCTTTTCAGCCTGGGAATATTTTCGGTATAAAATGGAATACAATGTCGAGAAACAACCCAGGCAACCACAAGGTGCGTACAGTGTTAGCCAATTCCAGGTCTGTTTATGGCTTGTTGACGTGTTTGTTTTTAATGAATCTAGGTAACTCCGTTTCCAAATACTGGATTTATAAATGGGTTTACGTCTCCAACCTTCAAACCTGCAGCATCTCCTCTGACTTCGCTCAGACAGTACCCTCCAAGAAGCAGGCAAGTTCCATGAGCAGTTGAAATGCTGCGGTTGTGTGGGGTTTGTGGTAACGGGTCACTGCCATGGTGTGTTCTCGAACAGCAAAGCAGGACAGATGGTGTTAAACCTGGCAATCCTCACCACACGCACGAGTCACTTCTACTAAGTGAAGAAGCTGCTTCTGATGATCTGTTGGGATTTGTTGGACCAGTGCAGATCAAACTGCTCGAGGCATAGAATGACATTCTGTGAGAGGAACCCCTGAAATGTGTGTCGGAGTGCCTACAGATTCTCTGCAGCTTGTATCTGCGTGTGTCTGCCTTTAATGTGGGCTCGCACTGCCGCTAAGCAGGACATTGATACTTCATAGATTTGCACTCTCAGACACAGTGTGCAATGTTTTTAATATTTTTCTAAATAGCACATTTTAGCTGAGACATTCATATATTAGTCTCATTTTAGGATGCCATGATCGCATTATAACTGAATGTATGCAAACCTTTTGTTTACAGGAATCCTAGTAAATCTCATCTACGCCACACCATTCCCAGTGCAGAGAGAGGAGCTGGGCTATTAGAAAGCCCTTCAATATTTAACTTCACTGCAGACCGGCTAATTAATGGTGTTCGAAGCCCACAAACACGGCAGACAGGTCAGCCTAGAACACGGATACAGAATCCTCCAACCTACACCAAGAGGGAGGTTGGGTCTGGTCGAGTGGAGCAGAGCAGTGCGGAGTCGCCTCCTGGCTTAGGGAGAGGGAGGTGAGTCCTTCAGAGCTGCTGTCAGACAGCTCCGACCTACCTGTCCTAATAAGTGATGAGTGTTTTCAAATTCCATCAGTTTAGGCATGTTTTATAATTGTTATTTTCAAATACATCACAGTCGAGGGCCCTAAGCTCTAAGCTCGTTAGGCCATCTTGGGCAAGACTGCTTATAGGTTTTCTGTAAAGGAATCAGTCAAGATTACTTCTTTGAACTCCTTTCCAGCTTACACAGTACCAGTGTATTCAGTTGAAATAACAAAGGGATAAGTAAATTAAAACAAATATTATGGAATAGAATTAGCTTGTGGGCTGTTAGGCCACGGAAGCCTGTCCGGGGCATGCCTGTCTGAGGCATATGGCCTCAGGGCCTGCTGGGCCTTGGCCGCTCTGTTGATGTTCCTTGCTTCAGTGCCGGGCATGGTGCTGGCCCCCAGAAATCTAGAGCCCTGTGCACGCAGCCAGAAGCTGGTATCGCTGGTTCTCGGGGCTTGGAAACCCTGCTGCCAGCCAGGGGGTAGCGGGAGTGGGCTGGCGAAGTCATGTCAGGGCTGAGGGAGGGTGTGAGAGCACACCAGCCTGCTTCTGGGTCTTTCCACGTCGATGATTAACCTGATGTATTTTCATTAGCCATGTTTAACAGTTCACCTGTTAGCGCATTGTCTGATTTTATATATCTCATCACTGCAACTGAATGGACATTCAGGTGTTTCTGTAACAAAAATTCTAAATGACCACTAGGAAAATTCTGTCAGTAAATGTTTTTCTTTTTTTTTAAATCTAGACATTACGTTTAATCTTTTACTATAAAATTTTTGTTTTGCTTATACTTCCTAAGGTTGGGATTTTGCAGTCAAAAGTCAGCTGTAACGGATTACAAAGTAAGAAAGACTGTGTGCACATACATGTGCTCAATGAAAAACCTTCCAAGTGGGAAAAAATTCACAGTCTTTTGCTTTCCTCTTGTCTAGGAAGAATTCCTTTGGCTACCGGAAGAAACGGGAGGAGAAGCTGACAGTGAGTACATTCAGCCCTTGATACTATTATAAGACTTTTAAACCTAATTTGTTAACTAAACAAATGTGAGATTTAACTACATGAATGAAGGTTAAGACGTGTGGAACTTTTCAGAAGAGGTTTTCTCTTAATGTGATGAGCATCAGGTGGTAACCGACGTGGCAGCCTGAAGAGGAGAAGCTAGAGGCGATTCTGTAGAAGTGCTGGTTGCTGACGAGTCTCTGGGAGTGTCGACACCTGGTGTCTCCATGTGCACGCGCTGTGCGGTGGGCATGGCCGAGAACCTAGTGTGCACACAGTGGTCTACACACACTTTGAGATGAGTTCTCTCTATGTGGGTAACTGTGTAGTACTAGTGAAATTAACTGAACAGTAGGAATTAATTCATTGGTATTTTTTATTCAGAATGTTTAACTTGTATCCCCTATGTAGAAAGCATTACTGCCGGGGCGCCTGGGTCACTCAGATGGTTAAGCGTCTGCCTTCGGCTCAGGTCATGATCTCCAGGTCCTGGGATCGAGCCCCATGTCGGGCTCCCAGCTCAGCAGAAGTCTCCTTCTCCCTCTCCCTCTGCCTTTCCCCCTGCTTGTGCTCTCTGTCTCTCTTAAAAAAAAAAAAAAAAGGTTGGAACAAACCCAAGAATAAGGAGTGGGCTCAGGTGAGTGCTAAGTACCTGAGGCATGGCCACATTTGCTGGGGTAACGTAAAAGTTCCTCCTATGGATAATGCTTCTGCCGAGCTCTGGTGTGGGGATGGATCCGGTATGTTTCCACACGAAGTATGCCCAGTTAGTAGCGTGTGTGGACATGTGGGAGGAAGGATGTAGACATTGACACTTGGAGGACTGGAAAGACCTTGAGTAAATTCTTGGTCCAGCCCCCTGAGCCAGTGGGTATGTGCTCTCCCATTACAAAAGATCTGTTTTCTCTGTCTTGAAAGTACGAATTATTAGTTACTAAAATACCCATAGTTCTACCTTGTTGGTCAGTTTAGTCTGGTTTTTGGCAAACCCTTTGGTAAGGTCATTTATATTGGTTGATTACAGTTGGAATTAATGAATTCCTGTAACATTTGGGCTAACAAGAGAGGTTGTCACTTAACTAGTTATCTTAAATGAATTATTCTCCTTGGTTACTTAAATTACCTGTAGAGGTGACATTTCTTCCCATTGCCATCTCTGTTACATTTTGTGTTCCTGACTCACGTGGTCTTACCTGTGGCCACTTGGAAGGCCAGGCACGTGATGCAGGTAAATTTCTTAAGGGGAGTGCATCTTTGGCTGCCTTGGGACATTCTGGTGACTTCTGGAACTTGGAGACGGATAATAGCGTGTGCTCACTTGGCCCAGCCCAAGCTCACTGGGACCAGGGCCAGTTCGTACCTCACCTCAAGCTATGCAAATCCTAAAAAATGTTAAACACTGCATTCAAGATCAGACCTCATATGTAGGCGCTGCCGTTCTGTAACTCCTGCATCTAGGCAGTTGCCTGCCTCTCTCATTCCTAAAAAAAGATTTAGTAAATTTTTGTGAAGTTTGAATGCCTGGAAATATGGTCTTCTGAAAACCTGGGTTCATCTCAGAAAAATGCGGATGTTTAAAGCCCCTGAGAACGACTTTGAGACGATAGGTCTGTGCATAACTTAGAGCCTTGCTGAGTTACCGAAGCATGGAGGGGCTGAGTGGAGTAAATGGGAGCTTACTTCTGAGGGCACGTCACTCCCGAAACTGAGCTGAACTTCAGGTACCTGCACCATGATAAAGATGAGAAACAGGCAGGGGTGCCAGAAAGACACAGCGGGATTGATATTTTTAACTTCCTATTGAGTTTTATTTATTTTTAAAAGTTTTCAATTCCAGTTAGTCAACACAGTGTAACATTAGTGTACAGTGTAGTGATTTCAGCGCTTCCGTATGTCACCAGTGCTCATCACAGCAAGTGCGCTCCTTCATACTGATCACCTGTTCACCCGCCCCCCAGCCCCCTCCCCTCTGGTGACCAGCAGTGTGTTCTCTAGAGTGAAGAGTCTATTTCTTGGTTTCTCTCTCTCTCTCTCTTTTCCCCTTGCCCATCTGTTTTGTTTCTTCAGTTCTACATATGAGTGAAATCGTATGGTATTTGTCTTTCTCTGACTTATTTCACTTAGCGTAATACTCTCTAGCTCCATCCATGTCATTACAAATGGCAAGATTTCATTCTTTTTTTTTTTTTTTTTTTTTTTTTAAGATTTTTTATTTATTTATTTGAGGCAGAGAGAATGAGAGACAGCATGAGAGGGAGGAGGGTCAGAGGGAGAAGCAGACTCCCTGCTGAGCAGGGAGCCCGATGCGGGACTCGATCCTGGGACTCCAGGATCATGACCTGAGCCGAAGGCAGTCGCTTAACCAACTGAGCCACCCAGGCGCCCAAGATTTCATTCTTTTTGATGGCTGAGTAAAATATTCCATTGTACATATATACCGTATCTTCTTTATCTGTTTATCAGTTGATGGACAGTTGGGCTGCTTTCATAGTTTGGCTATTGTAAATAAACATTGGGGTGCATGTATCCCTTTGAATTAGTGTTCTTGTATGCTTTGGGTAAATACCCAGTAGTTTGATTGCTGGATCACAGGGTACTTCTATTTTTAACTTCTTGAGGAACCTCCATACTGTTTTCCAGAGTGGCTGCACCAGTTTGCATTCCCACCAACAGTGCATGAGGGTTCCCCTTTCTCCAGATCCTCTCTCCTTTGTTGTTTCCTGTCTTGTTAATTTTAGTCATTCTGACAGGTGTGACGTTTTATCTCATTGTGGTTTTAATTTGCATTTCCTTGATGATGGGTGATGTTGAGCATCTTTTCATGTGTCTGTTTGCTCTCCAGATATCTTTGGAGAAATGTCTGTTCACATTTTCTGCCTATTTTTTAATAGGACTATTCATTTGTGGGGTGTTGAGTTTTATAAGTTCTTTATATATTTTGAATACTAACCCTTTATTAGATACATCATTTGCATATATCTTCTCCCGTTCCAAAAGTTGCCTTTTAGTTTTGTTGATTGTTTCCTTTGCTGTGCAGAACCTTTTTGTCTTGATGAAGTCCCAGTAGTTCATTTTTGCTCTTGTTTCCCTTGCTTCTGAAGACATACCAAGAAAGAAGTTGCTACTGCCACTGTCAGAGAAATTACTGCCTGTGTTCTCTTTAGGATTTTTATGGTTTCAGGTGTCACATTTAGGTCTCTGATCCATTTTGAATTTATTTTTGTATATGGTGTAAGAAAGTGGTCTAGTTTCATTCTTATGCATGTGGCTGTCCAGTTTTCCCAACACCATTTGTTGAAGAGACTATCTTTTTTCCATTGGATATTCTTTTCCTGCTTTGTCGAAGATGAGTTGACCATAGAGTTGAAGGTCCATTTCTGGGTTCTCTACTCTGTTCCACTGATCTATGTGTCTGTTTCTGTGCCAGTACCATACTATTTTGATTACAGCTTCGTAATGGAGCTTGAAGTCTGGAATTGTTATGCTTCCAGCTTTTTTTTCTTTCTCAAGACTGCTCTGCCTATTCAGGGTCTTTTGTGGTTCCATACAAATTTTAGGATTGTTTGTTCTAGCTCTGTGAAAAATTCTGTGGGTATTTTGATAGGGATTGCATTAAATGTGTATATTGCTTTGGGTCGTATAGACATTTTCACAATCATGAACATGGAATGCCTTTTCATTTCTTTGTGTCATCTTCAGTTTCTTTCATCAGTGTTTTATAGTTTTCAGAGTGTACAGGTCTTTCACCTGTTTGGTCAGGCTTATTCCTAGGGATCTTAAATGTTTTTGGTGCAGTTATAAATGGGATTGATTCCTTAATTTCTCTTTCTGCCGCTTCATTATTGGTGTATAGATATGCAACAGATTTTTCTATACATTGATTTGTAACCTGTGACTTTACTGAATTCGTCTATCAGTTCTAGCAGTTTTTTGGTAGAATCTTTCCAGTTTTCCATATAGGCTATCATGTCGTCTGCAAATAGTGGAAGTGTTGACTTTTTCCTTGCCGATTTGGATGACATTTATTTCTTTCTGTTGTCTCATTGCTGAGGCCAGGACTTCCAGTGCTATGTTAAGTAACAGTGGTGAGAGCAGACATCCCTGTCGTGTTCCTGACCATACAGGAAAAGCTCTCATTTTTTCCCCATTGAAGATGCTGTGGGTTTTTCATAGATGGCCTTTATTATATATTGAGGTATGTTCCCTCTATACCTGCTTTGTTGAGGGTTTTTATCATGAATGGGTATTGTGCTTTGTCTGCATCTACTGAAATGGTCATACGGTTTTTATCCTTTCTTTTATTAATGTGGTAAATCATACGTTGATTGATTTGTGAATATTGAACCACACTTGCAGTCCAGGAATAAATCCCACTTGATTGTAGTGAATGATTTTTTTTTTAATGTATTACTGGATTTGGTTTGCTAGTATTTTATTGAGAATTTTTGCATCCGTGTTCATCAGGGCTATTGGCCTGAAGTTCTCTTTTTTAAGTGGAGTCTTTATCTGATTTTGGAATTAGGATAATGCTGGTAGAATTCCCCTGGGAAGCCATTAGGCCCTGGACTTTTGTTTGTTGGGAGTTTTTGATTACTGATTCAATTTCTTTGCTGGTTATCGGTCTGTTCAAATTTTCTATTTCTCTCTATTTCAGTTTCGGTGGATTATATGTTTCTAGGAATTTATCTATTTCTTCCAGGTTGTCCATTTTTTTGGCATATAGTTTTTTATGATATCCTCTTATTGTTTGTATTTCTGTGGTGTTATTTCTCCTCTCTCATTTGTGATTTGATTTATTTAGGGTCCTTTCTCTTTTCTTTTTGATAGGTCTGGCTAGGGGTTTATCAATTTTATTAGTTTTTTCAAAGAACCAGCTCCTGGTTTCATTGATCTCTTGTTTTCTTTAGTTTCTATATCACTTATTTCTGCTCTGTCTTAATTATTTCCTTCCTTCTGCTGGCTTTAGGCTTTGTTTTTCTTTTTCTAGCTCTTTTAGGTATAAGGTTAGGTTGTTTATTTGAGATTTTTCTTGCTTCTTGAGGTAGGCCTGTATTGCTCTATACTTCGTTCTTAAAACAGCTTGTGCTGCATCCCAGAGGTTTTGGAGTATTGTGTTTTCATCTTCATTTGTTTCAATGTGTTTATTTCTTATTTGATTTCCTGATTGACCCATTCATTCATTGTTTAGTAACATGTTGTTTAACCTCCATGTATTTGTGGTCTTTCCAGATTTTTTCTTGTGGTTGACTTTAAATTTCATAGCCTTGTGGTCTGAAAATATGCATGGTATGATTTCAGTCTTTTTGTACTTGTTGAGGCCTGCTTTGTGACCTAATATGTGATCTATTCTGGAGAATATCCCATGTGTACTTGAAAAGAATGTGTATTCTGCTGTGTTAGAAATGTTCTGAATATATCTGTTAAGTCCTTCTGCTCCATTGTATCATTCAAAGCCATTGTTTCCTTGTTGATTTGCTGATTAGATGATCTTTCCATTGCTGTGAGTGGGGTGTGAAAGTCCCCTACTATTATTATGTGTTATCACCAGTATGTTTATGTTTGTTATTAATTGGTTTATATATTTGGGTGCTCCCATGTTGGGTGCATAAATACAATTTTTAGATCTTGTTGGATTGTCCCTTTTACTATGATATAGTGCCCTTCTTGATCTCTTGTTAGAGTCTTTGGTTTAAAATCTAGATTGTCTGTTATAAGGATTGCTACTCTGGCTTTCTTTGATATCCATTTGCTTGATAAATGGTTCTCCACCCCCTCACTTTCAATCTGGAGGTGTCTTTGGGTCTAAAATGAGTCTCTCATAGGCAGCACATATATGGATCTTGCTTTTTTTAAATCTGTTTTTATGCCCCTTGTCTTCTGATTGGAGCATTTAATCCATTTACGTTGAGACTGATTGTTGATAGATACATATTTAGTGCCATTTTATTACTTGTTTTGTTGTTTCTGGAGATTTTCTCTGATCCTTTCCTTGTCTTTGTCATTTTTGGTCCATCTCTTTTCCCCTCAAAGAGTCCCCTTAATATTTCTTGCAGGGCTGGTATAGTGGTCATGAACTTCTTTAGGTTTTGTTGGTCTGGGAAACCCTTTGTCTCTCCTATCCTGAATGATAGATAGCCTTGCTGGATATAGTGTTCTTAGATGCAGATTTTTCCCATGCAGCACATTGAATATGTCATTCCACTCTCTTCTGCCTTGCCAGGTTTCTGTTGAGAAATCTCCAGCTAAAATCTTATGGGTCTTCCTTTGTAAGTTAATGACTTCTTTTGTCTTGGTGCTTTTAAGACTTTTCTTTATCACTGTATTTTGCAGATTTAATTACAGTATGTCTTGGTGTTGTCCTGCTTTTGTTGATTTTGATGGGAGTTCTTTTTGCCTCCTGGATCCCAGATTAGGGAAGTTTTCGGTTGTCACTTCCTCAAATAAACTTTCTGCCCCCTTTTCTCTCTTCTTCTGTGACTTGTGTGATAAGAATGTTGTTACATTTGATAGAGTCACTGAGTTCCCTGAGTCTGTTCTTGTTCCATAATTCTTTCTTTTGTTCAGCTTCATTACTTTCCATTAGTTCATCTTCTAGGTCACTAATTTGTTTCTCTGTTTCTTCCAGCCTGAGGTTCATTGCATCAAGCCTGTTTCCAATTTTGTTTATTGTGCTCATCATCTCTGATCGATTGTTTTTGTTTTTGCTCTTTTATCTCTGTGGTAAGGGTCTCTCTGATGTCTTCTTTTCTCAAGCTCAGTGAGTATCCTTATCATTTTAAGTTCTCTATCAAGCATATTATATCTGTTTCGCTTAGATCTCTGGCTGTGGTCTTACCTTGTTCTGTGGTTTGGGATGAATTCCTCCAAGAGACAAGTGGGATTTTTGTCAGCGTGGTCCCTTTTCACTCTTTAACCTGCTGTCTCTTGAGTTCTAACAGATTTTCTCCAGATTCTACCTCTGTAGGGAATCATCTTCCTGTTGGTATAAGTTGCTGGGCAATGTTGGTCCTTTGCAGCTACGTGAGCCCCATGAAAGCATTGTTTCCAGTCAGAGTAGCCTACCTTCCACCCAGATAACTATCCCCTTTCTGTTCCTTATCTTCTCCAAGGAACTGGATATTCACAATATGACTCTAGCTTGTTAAAGCAAGTTGCTCTGTTAATTTTTTAATCAAAATACATCATTGCCTTTCTTCTGGGATCTTGGGTTTATAAATTACTCTTGGATATTATTATGAAGAAAACAAACTCAAGGAACCTGATAAAAATCTGTCAAGAAATAACCATGTTTTTACATAGTGATTTTAAAATATAAAGTGGATAAATTAGGTTTCAGATAACTGAAGTCCCTTCCCCCTTCTTAAACTATTTTTTAATGGAAATCTTTGTAAAATTTCTTACATAAGTTTCAGGGAGTTCAGAGTGACATTTTTTTATTTCACTATCTCCTTTATAAGTTGGATGGCAGGCTCTCTGTTAATAACACAATTCTTGTCTGGAGAGGAGTACGGTCAGCGGCTATACTCAGGCTGTTGTGATGTTCGACCGGTGGGGTTGAGTTTGCCTCCCTCGCTTGTCCATCCGATGCCTCTGTGCTGTGCTCAGCCGCATGCCTGTGTACCCCTTGGTTTGTGTTGGCCGACTGTGGACTGGGAACCGGACGGTCTTGGCGTCCCAGAGAGGTAGCTCCGTACAGCTGGTGGCAGCCTCAAGAGGGTTCGGCTTTATAACTGTGCTCCTGATGGTTACAGTTGCCTAATAAATGACCTTTGCTTAAATGACGAAGTGTTGCGGTCATTGGGAGACCTCTCTGTATTCAGACAGAGACGGAGAGCAGAAGCTGGAAAGGATTGTTTGCCTTACTCTTCTGCTCTGTGTCTTCGTATCGGACGGTCTATGCTTCTGCAACATGACAGTGTTGTTCTCTTTCAGAGGAGTCAAACTCAGTCTCCAACACCACCAAAGCCCCCGTCCCCGAGCTTCGAATTAGGACTGTCCAACTTCCCTCCGTTGCCTGGGGCAGCAGGCCACCTGAAGACAGAGGACCTCTTTGAAAACAGGCTGTCTAGCTTGTTAATAGGGTCCTCAAAAGAAAGGGTAAGACGCATACCGTGAATGTTTGCCTAGTGCCAAGTTTGCACCAGGCTCTCTGCCACACTCTTCATACAGGCAGTCTTCTTATGTGGAAGAGTTTCAGAGAGGGTGAGTGATGCAGAGGCCACGTGGATTTGGAGTGGTAGGGTCAGACTTGAACCTGGGACTAGACCTTCTCTGTTAATTCCCTTACTGTCTGCCAAGGTCAGGGGTGGAGACTGGCATCGTGTGCCATACAGATGCTCTCTGTCACCCCGAGGCTCAGATGGCACTTTTATTGTTGTTATTCAGGACCTGCCTTTATTTTACAAGTCTGCAAAATAAAACAGAAATCTGAGTTACAACAGAAGTGATGAGAATTTTTAGTGATCTATGCCACAACAAGGAGCCCGGAAACACCTAATGTAATACAGGGCTCAGGGAGGGATTTACAAAGCCCCACGTCCAGTCCTCGTCCTGCTGCTGCATGCTCCCTGCTCCTGTTGTTAACCTTTGCGCTGGGGTAGACTGCAGGACCGTACCTTACAGTAGCAATCACATACTACGTACATTTGGCAAGTCTTGTGCATTATTTTAAGTCTTAAACTTTCAGACAGTAGTCTCTGGGCTACAGCTGCCTCTCTCCAGTGATGTTAGAGTCAGTGCGGTTGAGGGGCCTTGACTTCCAGTGACCCCCTGGCCTTACTCCCCTTGGTGTCAGGCACAGGGGGCGAACAGGCTAGCCTCCACCCCGCTCCAAAAGCAGCAACTACTATTTTTTACATTTCGAGTCTCCATGGATGCCTACTTAACAAGTCTGAGCTGGATTCCACAGCCCGGGGAGTCACAGCTTCTCAGTGGGGCCCCTGCAACAGCTTTTTCTATTGCCTTGGCGCTTGAGTGTGGGAGCTGCTGGCGGGGGGGTGCTTGGCAGCTCGTCCCCAGAAGGGAGCTGGGTCACGCTGGCTGCTGTCTGCACTCCGGCACAGCAAGACAAGACCATACCCTGGAGTAAATGAACCTTTACAGAAAGGAGGCATTTTCCACTCGCACCTTCCCACCAGCCTGGCTTCCTTCAGCTGAGCATGGATTTGTGAAGAGTCTGGTTCTGTGGCAGGGCCACAGCGCCAGGGGCAGAGGGCATAGACGGTGCTGTCTCGCCCGCTTTGCTCCCTCTGGATGTTCTCAGTTCAGTCTGCAGCTGAACCTTTGACCTGCTCTGAAAGTAGAATTGTAAGAAAGCGTTCTTTGTGCCCATGCTGACTTCCAGTGACGTGCTCGTCACCCGGCACGAGGAAGACTGCCCTGGTGAACTGCTGCTGTGTGGGGGGCGCTGTTTGGAGTAAGAGCAGCTGGTGGTACTCACGTCTTTGTCCCATGACCGAGGACAGATTTAATGTCCATGTTCCAAGCTTCCATCTCCTCGGCTGTTAAACTGGGAATAATTACACCTGCTTCCAGGGCTGGGAACTGCCAACACCTGCCACCCACCTTGAAGCACCCACATTTATGTCTGTGTGGAAGTGTCGATCTTTTTGATTTTAGTTACAAGAAGGAGCCACACGGAATTAGACTGGGAACTCCACATTTAACAGAAATTTGAGGGTTCATCATATGCCAGGCTGTGTTAGGCATTGGGGTGTCAGGAATAAGATGCCTTTGATATTTATTCTGTGGAGAAAACAAGCTTGTAGACAGCGAAAGTGGAGGCCCAGAGGGGGGCCTGAGTCACACAAGGGGCGAGGTGTTTGCGGGCAGTGGGGGAGCGTCCTGGAGGACAGGCAGGGCTCTGTTTCCTCTCACTGCTAGTTGCTTCCCTTGGTAGAGGCCATGCTTCCAGCCCCAGCAGAGTGACCCCGGTGCCCCCAGGAGGAAGGCGGGAAGCCTCTTTGTCGTTCAGACTGGGACCTTTGTTGGTGTGTCTGAGGTCATTAGGACAGAAATCTGAGGGCTGTGTCTCTCCCCGCATTGAACTGTCCTTCCCCTGGTTTTCAGAGCCTAAACACGGATGCAAGCACGAACACGCTCCCCGCGGTGAGCCCCAGAGAGCCCTTGGTGCCAGCTCCCAGTGCTGTGTCCACAGCCTTTGGGCGCTCTCCCTCCCCGGCCTGTCTGCCCGAGTAAGTACCGCCTTCTGCCGAACCTCCGTGTTGTCGGACTGCCCTTGCCTGTCGTGAGTGGGAGATTCAGACCTTGGGTGGCATTTTTACAGGGATCCCAAGGTGGTGGAGAAGCAGAGAGAAGCCTCGAGTGTGGACAGACTTCCTTCTGCCCTAACTACAACGGCGAGTAAATCAGTGCAGGTGAACGGCGCTGCCACGGTACGTGTCCTGGCCACCCTTCCCGCCCCAGGGAGGAGGGGCGTGGTTTCTTTTCTGTGTCAGCTTATTTTCAGTGAAGTCTGGTTTGCTGGGTTTTTTACGTGTGTAGGTGCTGTGCTTCCCTCACCGAGTACCTTGAGTATTGGCTGCTGACTTCCCACTGAGTGTCCTGGTTATTTCTCATTGCCGCCACCCTGGGGGCTTCTTATTTCACTGTTGGTTGAGCCAGGTTGTCTTTTGAAGTCTCAAGACTACAGCCCCGTGTTCTGCATGGAGTCCGATCACTTGTCCCAATGGACGTCGGGAAGAAGCCACGCCACCCCTCCCCACCTGCTCCCACCTGGGCGGCTCCGTCCTGGCTGCAGGCCCCCCTCCACCTCCTCTGCCTGCCTCCTTCCCCCTTGGTGCAGCCAACCTGGTTTATTCTGATTCAGTGAACTTTTGTCGTTTAGATTTGGGAATTAAATCCTATCTATAAGGTTGCATCTTTAAAGGAAACGTTTTTTTATAGATTACAGTTACTTTTAAGTTAGTAATGGCTTATGGAGGTGAAATAGTTTTAAGTTCTCTTCTGTTATTTAGCCTTCAAGCTTCCACTTACCTGAAAAATTAACTTTTTAAAAAAAGTTTTTAACTCTGTCTTCACCTTTCCTGAATCTACACCACCAGCCTCTGGTGGTTTGAAATGGGCACAAACATTATTTGAAGCTCCTTGGTAAGTGATGGACTGCATGGTTCGGGTGTTCCAGGAAGCCCATGCTGTGTGACGTGAGGGTGTTTGCAAGGACGTGTGGGCGGAGGAGGTAGATGCTGCTTCTGGCTCTTTGCAGGGGCACCTTTTCTCACACCTTTTTTTTAGGGCTTCCATGTGACTCTAGAGTGCAGAGGCTGGCACTGCATATCTCAGGACCTTTTCTGGTTTTATCCATTTTTATAAGATGTTCCTAGAGTGTCTTGGAGGGAGCCTTGTGCTGCAGGGGAAACTAAACTTGTTGAAATTTATGAACTTTTACAAGTGACAGCACTTTTGAGTGTGGAATTGAGCACCCACTGAAAACATTGTTCACTTTTACCTGAAGTGAACTCATTTTCACACATTTGGAGATGTCCTTTTGTGCACGTAATCCCAGCATTGTGTCTGTTTCCCAGGAATTGCGAAAACCCAGCTATGCGGAGATTTGTCAGAGGACGAGTAGAGAGCCTCCGTCTTCCCCGTTGCAGCCCCCAAAAGAACAAAAGCCCAACGCCGTTGGTTGTGGGAAGGAAGAAAAGAAGCTCACCGAGAGAGAGCCCCCTGCCCCCAAGTCGAACCCGGGACCACCCAAAGACCAGAGGAGGCCGCCAGGCCGCCGACCCTCACCCCCGGCCACCGGGAAGCGTCCACACAGAGAACAGAGCACCCCTCCCAAGTCCCCTCAGTGAGCGCCGAGGTCTGGGAGGGCTGTGAGGAGCTGGGGTCGCCACAACTAAGCACTGTCCCACTCGGGGCCAAGAATGAGCCGCTGGTTAGGGGCTTGCAGCGTAGACAAGGCCGGTGAGGTGCCTGCAAGTGGTTTTTCTTCCATGAGTCGGATTTTCCCCCCTCTTGAAAAAAAATCTATTTTTCAGGATTTAATTAATATAAACCTTATTTTAGGTTGGTGCTTAACTGGAGGTGATGCATAAGTCTGATTTTTTTCAGGATAGAAAATGCATTTATCCTAACAAATTGATATTTTTATTAAGCCTCCATGTGGCTATGAATGCAAGCTATATATAGTGAGTTTTTCTAAATTAAGCGGAACTATGCTACTTCATTTTTTAAAATAACTGGTTAGCAAGTGCATTCCTTTGAGATGTCCAGACCGATGGGTGGGCTGAAGACCGCTGGGATCGAGGTTGGAGGCGACTCGGTCAGTGTGGCCTGGAGAAGAGAGGGGTCAGGTCACACCCTCACTGGCTTGGGAGTTGTACTTCATTCAGAATCTTAGCAAGTGACGCTAGTGGTTTTGTTCTTGTTTTTGTTTTTTAAAAAAATACAGCCCGTTTTTGACCTACTGGGCGAGATGCACCCCAGAGCCCTGAAACCTTGAGTTTTGATGTGCTGCAAGCAAGTAACCAGCCTCTCACTCCTGTCTCAAGTGGTTGTTGTGTAAGACAGAGTCAAAGCACATTGTGAATAGAACTTAAATGAAAACATAAACCTGGTTGCCCACTCACGTGTCCCCACAAAAATGTACCCTGATGTTGTCTTGCTCCCGAGAGCTGGCGGGAGGGCGTGGGAGCCCCTGTGGCCCCCGTGGCTCCCCCGCGTTAGCCGCTGCGTGGGCGCCTTCCCGTGGCTCCGCATCGGCCCGCAGTGGAAGCATTGCTTAAGTCGTGAGGGAGTGGAGTCTGCGGGGGGCTCGGTGGTGAGGCTGACAGTCCCTCCCAGACGAGGGTCTCACTGATCCCCTCCGGAAGTGCTGCACTCCGAAGAACGCGCATGCACTAACGCTAGCGGTCCATAATAAAGTCAAATATAAATTATTTTGTTTTAAAATGCCTAAATTTTTTCTTGAAGTATTCTAAGCAGCAGACATTAAAACATTTCCTGCTAAATGTAACCATACAGTTTATTCCACAAAAGGTTATTTAACAAGACTGAGGGTTCTTTTTAAAAACATTATTTCCATCCAATATTTAAAGACTTGAATTTTATTTAAACTTGAAAATGACTTTGCCTTAACTTTTGTATAAGACAGCTTAGAGTTGGTGGAGACTGGCCCCTGGGTTGGCACGAGGGGTACGGAGCTGCTCAGTCTGGTGGGGCTGCCGCCGCAGGTGTCCCCAAGCGAGCGTTCTGTAACACAGGACCTGGCAGTGGTGTCTGCAATACACCCTGAAGATCTTCAACAGTTGACCTTCTTCAGATTGTTCAGAAATCCTGTAAATGCAAATAGTCGATACTGTATTAAATATGTGCACTTGGGAGTGTGTGCTTTGCTTGTACAGTTGTAAATAATCAGAACATATTAAAAAGGTACCCTAAAGAGAAAAATCTGATAAAAATTATTGATATATTATAAATGTTGCTATTGAGCTGGATGTAGATAAACTAAATGTTGTGGTTTGAATATTATTTTAATTTGTTGAGGTGTTTTTCTTTTTCTCTGATGCTGGTGTGTTGGGCTGATTCTGCCTCTTTGCTGCTGCAGAAGGGAAATGGAAAGTCCTAGCAAAGCCTTCCGACGTTTTCATGCTCTTCTCACAAGTCTGTAAATATGTACTAATCGTAGCTAATGTGAAAGCATAATGTAGGAAGCAGAAACTGGCAGGAGCTTCAGGAGAAAGCAAAAGATAATCTACTTAGAATCCTAACTGCCAGAGGAGAGCCGGCCCTGGTGCGCTTGACCGTCTCCTTCAGAGAAGCCGCCAGGACTCACTATCCATGAGTACACAGTGCTAGTGTAAAAGGAACAGGGGGATTTCTTTTTTTGTAGGTGAGGGATTGCGGACTTAAAAAATCAGGAATTAGTTGACCTCTGACGCCCCATCTCATGAGTACTGTAAGAAGAGCTGGAAAGGCAAGCCCCAGGAAGTGCTTACTGTGGCAATCTTTGCTGGAGGAGGGAGCGGACGCGGTCAGCCTTGGTCACCCGCGCACCCCCCTCCCCCCGGGCCGCAAACTCTGTGTGGAGCTGACACACTGGTTTTCAGGAATGACAGATCCTTGCCCTGGTGGCAGGCTGTGTGCTAGAGCTAGCCGTAGCCGTCCACGGCCGGCAGGACGAAGGGGGTCACTCGTGACAGCAACGGGGCACAGCCGGGAGCGGGGGCGGCTGGTGCGGAGAGGGGCGTGGCCTGGCGGTCCTGCAGCCTCCGTGCCCGCTCGCCGCACTGCGGCCCCTGTCCCTGCAGCCCACATCAGTTGCAGCCAGAGTTGCAACCTCGCTCTGGTGGGATTTTTATAGCACCCTTTTTAATTAAGCAACGATGATACGCCAAATAGCTATATAATATCCCAAACCCCACCTTTCTGAGATCACTGTGAGATTTTCCCCTCACAGAAGAGAAGGGAGCCTGGGACGTGGCACGGAGACGGTGACTCTGGCACGAGCAGCCACAGCTGGTGGGGGCTTTTGTCCAGTTTTAGAAACGGAAGTCTTTCCTTCCCCCAGCAGTAGCTCAGGTGTAGAATCAGAGATACAGCAATCACAAATGACATTTTAACTTGTAAAATTGTGTGAGGATACTTATAATTTGGAAATAGCGGGATGAGAATCTGGCCCCATTTCACCAGACATGAATTTCCAGTAGAGTAGTTGTTTTTTAAGAGTTGGTGTCCTAATGTTCCTGGCCCGGCCCGCCTGTCCCAGCATCACTGATTGTCACTGGCGGTGGCAGAAGGCGCTTCCGGCGGCTCTGTTAGCCAGGATCATGCAGTTTACATTTCAAAGCCAGTTCAGTTTGTTACAGGGGCAGCGGGTGAGGAAGGCGCGTGTCTGTGCCTGCCACCAGCGAGCTGCGTTTGGGGGCTCGTGTGCTTTGTGGCCTGTCACCCTGGGTGCCGCAGACAATCCAAGTCAGAAGCAGAGCCAGCAGCCGCCAGTCCGCCGAGCGGGACGTGCTACAGAAGCTTTCTTGAGGGCCTTTGTTTTTGTTCTACTTCTTTTCATTAAGACTGGAATCAAGCTTATGTGTAAACTATTGATAATTTAAGTTTCCTTTTGTGTCATTCAGTGTAAAACTGTCTAATTTGAAAAAAATGTAGGTTATGAAAAATAAAGATTTAGGCACTGTTGCAATTTTTCTTTTGATTTTTTTTTAATTAATTCCTTCAAGAATACATCTTTTTAAAAAATAATTCTTGTCTCTTCCCATCAGTGTACATGAGAATGGAATGTGGTTGCCTCCAACTGGTGTTTGGATTATCGAGGCTCTGAGCGTCTGCAGCGTGAGGGGCCCCCAGTTGGCATAGTGGTCTCAGGCATTCGGGGGAGCAGTGCATTGAATCCAGGATTTACCACAGAGCTAAATTCCCCGATGTCGGGATCTTCCATTGCTTGTGTTAAATGGCCTGTCTCTTGTGTGATGTTCCCATAGAGTCACTTGATGATGGGTCCTTGTGGTTTTCAGATCAGACGTGAGCCTCAGAAACAAAGTAATTGACTCACCCCTAAATACTGGTGATGCCAGCGCCACTCAAGGCTGCAGGTGGATGAACCGCTTAGTAGATTATTGATTTGGGGCACGGATGGTCTGCTTTGATGTCAATTGACTGATGTTCCTCGTCTGTGAACTGCCTGTTCATTTCCTTTCCCCTTTTTTTCTACGGGGTTATCTTTTTCATACTGATGTGGTGTTCCTGATCTGTTTGGGCTACTAACTCTTTGTCTGTTATGTATGTTACAAATACTTCCCTTCAATCCCTACCAGTGTCTTAACTTTTTTAGAGTATGTTTTATCCTACAGTTTTTGATGATCATGTAGTAAAATTTATCCTTCTTCTCCTTTGTGGTTCTAGTGTCTTGGTCTTGTTTCTGAAGTATTTCCCTACTCTGTAGGCGTAAAAATAATCTGTGTGTGTGCGTGCGCGTATGTGCGTGCGCCTGCGTGCGTGTGTGCGTGCAGTCCATCTGGAATTGTTGGCCTGGATGTGCGTGTGTGGTCTGGGTCACGGCCTAATTCTACTCTCGCCATACGGAGGGTCTCTGGTTTGTTATTTCTCCATGGTGGGTGATGCCACACTTGTTACTTGCGGAGTCCCCACAGATGCATGCATGTTGTCTAGGTGCTCCCTTCATTACTGTCTGTAGTTCTGTTTCTTTGCTGACCTCGTAGGCTTTCATCCAGCCATCATTCTGCGTTGCTAGGAACTTCTTAAATGGAACTCCTCACAGTTGTAATTCAGTGTGCTCTATGAAGGCAGGAAGTGAGCCCATCCCAATCGCCTTTGTATCCCCTATTTTTAGGACACTGTCTGCAACATGGCAGATGCTCAATAAATGTTTGTTAAATTGATGAAATATTTATTGAGTATGCTTTGTAGCACAGTACTGGCCTAGAAAATTTGGAAGAACTAGGGTCATGCTCTGCTGTTTCCGTGTAACCATCCAAAACTCACTGGCTTGACGTGACAGTCACATCAGGATTGGCTGATGAAGGCTTGGAGTGGCTGTTCTGCTGGCCCTCGGCCCCACTTGCTCACAGATGCACGTGTTCTGGGTGGGGGGACACAGACCTCGCCACCGCGTGCTGCTCGTCTGGGCTTGTTTTTTGATGGCCGTGGGAGGGTGCAAGAGCTGAACCCTGGCGTTTAAGCCTCCCTTCCCCCAAGAAGTTGCAATCATTGTGTTCCACCCCTTGGTATACCTACCTGTTCCGCTAACATTAAAATCCTGTGTTTTTCTGAGTCATGGACTAAAAGCAGTGGTTGAAGAAGCACCACCAGCAGGTGGCCTCATATTGCCGGGTGTGATGAGCAGTGAGCCCCATCTGAGCCCAGGGAACTGACAGTCCTCTTAGACGGGCGCGTCTGGGATTCCCTGGGACACACTGTTCCTGGCCTGCCATGCGGAGGCGGGCCGGAGGTAGGGCGGGAAATCAGAACAACAGGTGACTTTCACCAGCACTCCCCACTGGGGTTCTGCGTGTGTGTGGAACCAGAAACACCGTGGAGCACCGCTAGCACGGGTGCCCGCCAGACGCCTGGGGCGTGTGCTCCCGTGCCGGGAGGCTGGGTGGTCGGGTGGCCCTGCTCTGAGCTGAAGTGGGCAAGTGAGCCGCCAGGCGAGGCGGGCCGGCTGCACCACTAGCGATGGCGTGTCCACAAGATGTAGCTGCAGCCATCGGTGGTGTCCCCGGCGTGGCAGGGGCCCCCGCTGCCTGGGTTCACCCTCGCCCGGATTTTCCTTTGAGCCACGGTGGCCCCTTGCCTCCCTGAAAGTCACGATTTGTTCATGAACGGTCGTGCGCCCGTGTGCTCTGTCCGTAGGCGCGTGGTGCCCGAGGGCCGCCAGAACTGAGAAGCAAGGCGGGTGGCTGTGGGGGCGGCTGGCCGTCCCGCAGAGCACCTCCTCGCCCGGCCGCAGCACAGAGGACGCGTGTGCAGGACGCACACGGGGCCCATACCAGCAGGCCCTTCTGACCCGGTCCAGCGGTGAGGCCCTGACGACCATGATCACACAGTTTGGGAGGAGGAGCGGGCCGTGCCTGTCCTGGCCTCCCGTGGCCTGCGGAGCATCTGACACAGAAAGGCTGAGTGGCCATGTCTGAGCGTGGGAAGGGACGGGAGAGGCAGGACTAGGCAGGCGCCCACGTGTCAAGGCAGCAGTCCCTGGTCCACACACAGCCCTAGAATCAGCCCTTTTGTTTGAGTGACCGGGAATGAATCCTTGCAGCCCCAACGGGCAGGAATGTGGGATGTTAGAGCTGGCCCCGGGCCTGCCCCCAGGGGAGCGCCCGCCCCGGGCCTCAAAGCAGGCGGCCAGCTCAGCTCCCCGCTGCGTCTGGCTCCCAGGGACCCTGGGCAGCCTCGAGGCAAAGGCCGTGTCCCAGCACGTCCGAGCACGTAGCCGTTGGAACTGGGAACAAGGCTACCTCTGAAAACCACACCAGGAGACCCTTCATCTTGGGACAAGTTTCCGAATGAGCTTGAGCCTAATTGGCAAAGTCAAACTGAGAAGATGTGCTGACTCTCCTGCCATGAACTTGGGGTTTGGGGTGGGGGGTGGGGTGCTGACCCCCGTTGCTGGTAAGGATACAGGAGGGTCACCTGGCACACCAGCCATTGTTGGGAACTAACGGTCAAGAGGTACTTTTGGTTAATAGGTCAAGTCCCGGGGAGAAAAGCCCCGCAGAAACCCCGGGACCAGCGCTGGCTCAGGTGGGCAAACCCGAGCTCACCAGTCCTTGAGATTGATTTGGGTTTATTTTGCTCTTTTCCTAGTTTCTCAGGAATTTAAGATGACTGATTTATGATCTTTCCTGAGGTAAGCGTTCCATGCTATCAATTTCCCTGTCAGCTGAATCCCAGTTCTTTGTATTTTTAAATTTTTTTTGAGATTTCTTCTTTGACCCATGGACTGTGTAGAAGGGTGTTGTTTTCCTTCCAGGTGTTGGGAGATTTTCCTGTTGTCCTCGTGTTACTGGTTTCTAGTGTGGCCCCATCGTGGTCAGAGAACAGGCCATATGATCCTGTCCTCTTAGGTGCGTCAGGGTGGGCTTCGTGACGCGGGTGGGCGCCCGCGGGTCGGGAGGCTGGAGACGGCGTGTGGCGTTCCAGGCCTGCGCTCTGCGCGGGGCTCGCTCCCGTGTCGCCGGCTGTCCCAGCGCACTTGCCGCGTCCAGGGGCCCCACTCCGGCCCCCAGCCCCATTGGCGTCTGGCGGGGTATTGGGGCGCTCTGCTGGTGGGTGCCTGCACCTGTAGGAGCTCCCTCTTGATCCCCTCACTCTGAGGTTTCACTTTATTGGACGTCATTAGACCCGTTCCCGCTCCTCGCTTCCCGTCGTGCCGGTGAGGTGCACCTTCTCCGACCCTTTGTCTCAGCTCGCGGCCGCCCCTCCCATCCTTGCCTTCCAGGGGAGGGGGGGCGGTCATCATTTGCCGCTTCCTTAAGGCCCAGGTCACGGGTGGTTTTAGAGACAAGTCAGCCACTATGTGTGACAGGCTTGGCGCCTGGTGCTCTGGCTGCACCCGTGTGACAGGCGCAGGCGAGCGAGGAACCGGGGACAGCGGCCTGGTGGGGTGGTTTCGGGACAGCATGTGAGGTGGAGCCAGCTGCCCGAGGGAGCCGTCCGGAAGATGGTACCCAAACACGGGCAGAGCCGGGAGAGCACCACACAGCCTGGCGACGTCAGGGACCCAGGCTGGCGTTCTCCCGTACGCCCGCACCCGGCTGTGGGGGCCGCGCACGTGTGCAGCAGGTGCAGGGAGTGCGTTAGACATGGGGGACAGCGCGGCCAGTGTGGACGAGCGACCGTCCGGCTGACTGGGGGGGGACACTGTGGACAAGCGACCGTCCGGCTGACCAGGGTGGCCAGTGTGGATGAGCGACTGTCCGGCTGACTGGGGGTGTGGATGAGTGACCGTCCGGCTGACTGGGGGCGGGCGGGGTGGACGAGTGACCGTCTGGCTGACCAGGGGCGGCCAGTGTGGATGAGCGACTGTCCGGCTGACCGGGGGCGGGCAGTGTGGACGAGCGACCATCTGGCTAACTGGGGGCGGGCAGTGTGGATGAGCGACCGTCCGGCTGACTGGGGGGGGACACTGTGGACAAGCGACCGTCCGGCTGACCAGGGGTGGCCAGTGTGGATGAGCGACTGTCCGGCTGACTGGGGGTGTGGATGAGTGACCGTCCGGCTGACTGGGGGCGGACAGTGTGGATGAGCGACCGTCTGGCTAACTGGGGGCGGGCAGTGTGGATGAGCGACCGTCCGGCTGACTGGGAATGTGGACGAACGACCGTCCGGCTGACCGGGGGCGGGCAGTGTGGATGAGCGACCGTCTGGCTGACTGGGGGCGGGCAGTGTGGACGAGCAACCATCCGGCTTACTTGCGGGGGAGACGGTGTGGACGAGGGACCAGCTGGGTGTCTGAGAGGGATTGAGGGTGACCTGAAACCCCCCAGAGGTGAGGGCAGCTGGTCGGTAAGGACCACCTGGGGTCCTTTCCTGGACATCCGTGGCCTGGTGTCCTCACCTGTCCTGGGAGCAGGGTCCAGCCACGCTGCGTGGGAGCCTCGGGAAGCGTCTCTGGGCAGCTCTCCCTGAGCCTCGGCTGCCCTCTGCCCTGAGGCTGC